TCATGTCCACTTACCCACACACACTTCCTGGTGTCATGTCCACTTTCCCACACACACTTCCTGATGTCATGTCCACTTACCCACACACTTCCTGGTGTCATGTCCACACACCCACACACTTCCTGGTGTCATGTCCACTTACCCAAACACTTCCTGGTGTAATTTCCACACATCCATACACTTTTTGGTGTCATGTCCACACATCCACACACTTCCTGGTGTAATTTCCAAACACCCATACACTTTGGTGTCATGTCCACACATCCACACACTTCCTGGTGTCATGTCCACTTACCCACACACTTTCTGGTGTTGTTGTCCAGTGTGAACCCTGATGGGCAGTCAGAGCAGGTGAAGGCTACTCCAGAACTGCTGTGGAGAGGGGCTGGAACATCAGTGCAGTTCACATCCTGTGGACATGGGTTAGCTAGACAGCCATCCAGATCTATACTGCAGTCATCACCTACAGGGACACAGATCAACACTTCATACGTACCTTTTTAGTACTATCACAGTTATTCAGCATGATTTATTTCCTGATTATTTGACATTTATATTAAAAAAAAAAAAGAAACACTGCAGCCAGTGGGCCATTTGATTACAGCTGAATCTTCCTTCCTGTATATATCTTTAATTAACCTTCACCTTGACAATGGACAGCATATCTTGTGACTTATCTGATGTAAGGAAACCAGGAGTTATCTAAATAGCCCAGTGAAACTTTCTTTATTGTTGTGGATGAAACCAGTTTTAGAAAATAATTACTATGTCCTATTTTAAAAAATAATTACTATGTCCTACCATACCTGTGTTTAATTGAGACTATGTAAATCTTTGTATATCTACCTCACCTTTGTTTAATAGAGACGGAAAATTACTATGTAGCCGCCTTCGTCTACATTTTATGGTTTATATCCTGCCTGTATCTCTGTATTATGTAAACTGTACGAATTATCTATTAAATTAAGTAGATGCTGCTGAGTGACAGGTAACCTGACCAATAGTAACCAGGAATGTCCTCAGTCAGTCATCCCCCCTCCCAAGGGATTTAAAAATTAGCAATGTTGTGAAGAAGTCAGTACAGGGTTAGCACTGGAGCAGGAAGGTTGTCATCTATATTGTAAGGCTAAGGCTCCTATGTACACTTATGCTAACAGAAATAAACCTGTATTATAACTGAAGTCGTGAGTTTGTTGAGTGGAGACATATCAGATCCCCAGCATATGGTCAGAGCCTTCCCCTGGACCATCATAGTACTTATGAAAAAATAGTTTCAGAGATTAACACTGAATGTTTTTTCAATTAATCTAATATTAGTTTTATATAAACTTTATTTAGTTGTATTAATTAACCAATAGTAAATCCTCTTACATTTCAGTTACCTGTATATCCTAGAGTAACTACCTGTACCAACTCAACACTATCCTACGTGTATATCCTACCGTATATATGTAGTGACTACATATGTTCCTACTCAACACTATCCTACGTGTATATCCTAGAGTAACTACCTGTACCAACTCAACACTATCCTACGTGTATATCCTACCGTATACATGTAGTGACTACATATGTTCCTACTCAACACCTACCTGTATATCCTAGAGTAACTACCTGTACCAACTCAACACTATCCTACGTGTATATCCTAGAGTAACTACCTGTACCAACTCAACACTATCCTACGTGTATATCCTAGAGTAACTACCTGTACCAACTCAACACTATCCTACGTGTATATCCTAGAGTAACTACCTGTACCTATTGAACAATTACCTGTATATCCTAGAGCACATTCACAAGTTGCCACGGCAAAGTTGGGGAAGTTCACATCTGGCAGGGTCTGCCTGTCAAAGTTACATGTGCCATTTGAAGAGCATCCACTGCAGTAACTTATCCGGACTGATGCCTCTGACACCCCACCATTGCCATCGTCAGCTATGAACCTACACATGACCAAAGTAAACAGTTACTCAGTGAATTATTATACTGTATAAGTACATTAGGATCTGTCTACCATGATAATACATAGAATAAGGGCACTTTGGGCCATATCCAAAGTTAATAGTGTAATGAAAGTAGTCCTGTTGAAACATGTTTTAATATTTAAAAAGTCGGATGAAACAGCTGAGACCAACCAAGATATTCTTTGGTTTAAAAAATATTTATTCAGGTGATATATATATATATATATATATATATATATAAGTATGAGATATATCTGAAAGTTGAACTTGACAGACATCTTAAAAGTGATATGTGTGTATAGGTGTGCTGTGACTGCTATGTAGTATAGTTGGATATCTATCTCACCTGATCATGAACACCTGTGCTGTGACTGCTATATAGTATAGTTGTGTATAGGTGTGCTGTGACTGCTATGTAGTATAGTTGGATATCTATCTCACCTGCTCATGAACACCTGTGCTGTGACTGCTATATGGTATAGTTGTGTATAGGTGTGCTGTGACTGCTATGTAGTATAGTTGGATATCTATCTCACCTGATCATGAACACCTGTGCTGTGACTGCTATATAGTATTGTTGGATATCTTTCTCACCTGATCATAAACACCTGTGCTGTGAGAGCTGGGGTCCAGGTAAAGAGTCCAGTGCTGTTGTTAAAACTAGTTCCCGTGGTATTTCCAGTGTATGACAAGCTGACCACGTCTGTGACATCATCATCAGTGACAGATACACTAACAGTGACCAGGTCACCTCCTGTGACATTGACTGTGGCTGGAATCAGCCTGATTCTGGGGACAGCATTCTCTGGACACAAGAAACAGTCAGATTAACAAAGGACAAACTCAGTGATCAACGTTTACATATGCCACTATAGACACTACATCACTGGGTAATCTACAGTACTCATACCATGCATACAGTATGTTTACAGAGGTAAATTGTCAATAATATTTCCTGTCTTCTTATAATACAATATTTCAAACATTATCAGAGATAAATGGCTTTTTGTTCTTTCTGTCTGTATTAAAGATAGGGTACTACTCGTAGGTAACTGATCTTTTTAACAGTAAAAGGAAATGTTTTAGGTGATAAAACATTAATGGCACTCACTTGCTTCCCCAGCCTTAACAGCATTTTCTGCCTGCTTCGTAGCTGTGGCTTCTGCCAGCTTCTTGTTCAGCGTAAGCCAGTAGTCATAAACACACTGTGTAACATTATTACAGATGGTGTAATACTCGGCTTTGATGGTTTCATTTGGCCAGCTGATTTCGTCAAAGAAAACTGGCTGGAAAGAGGGTTCCTGGAAACTGGAGGTTGTCAGTTCACCCTTGTAATGGAAGAGGGAAGCCCCTTCTTGGACCATCCCTGTGATGGAAAGATGATAATTAGTTTTAAATATTTGTAAGTCAACATACAGATTTAAAAGACAGAGTTTTTTAAGGAAATGGCTGTTTACCACCAAGTTGTGAACTTCTGATATATACTTCACAACAGGTCCAAGGATATATAGCTCTCAGTCAAATGAGGTAGAGTGGAGAATTGAATTTCTGTATGTTGTTGGAACATTTGTTCTACATTGATGCCATAATATAATATAATACCTCATGAATGGGTTATAAATTTCTAGTATAAGATTCCAAATGTTTGCATTGTACATCACTGAGATGAACTGCATCACTTACACAGCTGTCCAAAGTTGTAATGGATCTGTCTTTCTGTTGAATTGATAGGCAGAATAGTGCCGTCAGGTGTGGTGAAGTCATCTGTGATGTCATTGTTGAACACCCCCAGTAGACCTCGTGTCCTGTTGATGGCAGTCCCAGGTGCTCCAGCCAAGAAACTGAGCACACCTTCACTGAGGGAAATGGTGATAGACCAGCCTGGGTTGAAATGTGTTATGTTGTTAAAATATGCTTTATGTTCAATATAGGCAGCCTCCGGAAATTGCCTTAAAAGCATGTTTATTTGTCCTCTGAAAAGTAGGTAATTATACCTGGTGGCAAATTGAAATATCAGTGGACATTATTTTGGCATTGGACTAATTAACCTAGTTGTGAATTATAATCTTGGTTTCATAATTATCCAAGACTAAACCCAGCTTGCTTTACAACAGTTTCAGCCTCAGCACCTCAATGCAAAACATAACTTAGATTGAGGGTCGGTATATACCGATATGTACATAACAGTCAGAGAGAAAAGTCTTACCTGAAGAAAACACCCCAGTTACACTGCTGCCTGTAGCATTATAGATCACTTCCATATTGTCGAAAGTTGGAATTGCAGAAGTCAGATTTACCAGCTCCCATTGGCCAGTGCTTTCACGGTATGCCCAGACTTCTAAGGCTGAGGAAGAAATCATTGCACAATATAACTGGATCTTAATATTAGGATTTTAACAGGGGTACCTGTGCTGGTCTGGTACCATCTATCACTGATATTGCACCTCTGTCTCACTTCTTTTAGATTTCTATGAGCGCATTCTCAACGAAGTAAGCCAGGCTTTACAAAGCCGGTGACCTAAAAATGGCGGACGTACATGAAAGAAAAACCGCCTAATCTTTTAATAGTCTCTCCGCCTCCCCACACGTCGTCCCTGAGGGGTACAGTAATTTAATCGCGTCTCCGTTCGCCATGCGGAAGCTACCTGAGAAATATTAAGTGGGCATGCTCATCAGTTAAACTCCTGGTGAAGAAAGCATGGCGGCTGAAGGCGATCGAAGGAAAAAAGCTCTTCTGTTCTATTATCTTTGAAAACAGAGACGAAAAAGGAATAATTTGGCCCGTAGAGCAGCAATGAATCGACTATCTACGGAGATAATATCACCAGAGATATTCACGGAAATATTAATGTTCGGAGCCGAGATTTAATTACTGTTCCCCGCAGGGACGACGTGTGGGGAGGCGTGTGAGAGGCGGAGAGACTATTAAAAGATTAGGCGGTTTTTCTTTCATGTACGTCCGCCATTTTTAGGTCACCGGCTTTGTAAAGCCTGGCTTAATTCGTTGAGAATGC